GTAATTATGAGAGGTTGATTAATCATTTTTATTGTGGAGGATGTTAATCATAGATATTATCATCTTCTTTATTTTAATTTTTGAGAAATACATGAAACAGTTTTAATTAAAATTTCATTAAGTATTATATGAAACAATTTCATAACCATATATGAAAACAACTTTATAAAAAAAAAATGTATTATATGAAACAATTTCACGAGATTAAACAATTTCATGAAAAAATTTCATAAGATTAAACATTGAAATCGACGGATGAGGACGGTTTATACGGTTTACACAAATGAAAGCGGTTTTTATTTGATCGCTCCTATAATATATATATATATATATATGTATAATAATTGTGCCAGTTTACATAATATTTTTTGTTTTCTTAAATTATTTTTAATTATGTAAATTTTTTAGTTTTCTTACTTTTTTTAATTATGTAAAAATAAATTTAATTATGTAATATGAATTTGGGAATTCGATGTATTTAAACTTTTTATTTGTTTGGATTGTGATCACGTTACCGTTGATTTTATAATAAAGTCTTAATTTTATAAATATTGGACTGTAGGTGTAAGTTAGGTACAAACAGCATCCCATTTCGTGGTGCAATTTTTTGTGGGTTTAGATGTATGCGGTTTGCGGCTCGAAAAAAATACTCAAATTGCATATGGGTATGGGTCAAACTGCACTGCAAACACCCCTAACATCTTACCTATATTTCACTGTGTTGATCAATTCCATAAAGGTTTTAGGGTGTTGTTTTCTCCTTAATTTTTCATTTTTTTTTGCTTTTTTCAATTGTGTAGATGTTGTATTGGAGTCGTTTTCTCTCTTGTCTTTTTGTTTCTTTTCCTATGACTTTGTTTGTACTTAGATCCATGTTCAACGGATTTTGTCTATGTAGATGGTTATGCGATGTGATATCTATGATCAATTATCTGTTAAAACAAAAACGATAAGTATAACGTACAAGTGTACCTTATTGTAAGTTATCGTATTCAATCAAGTAATAAAATTATGAGACTAGACGTCGTATTCACATAACTTAAACTTCAAACTTATAGTATGTAGCTGCAGTGATGGCCAAATCGACCCGGCCCGAGACCGGTAAGGACCGGTTGGGGTTTTTGGTAGTTTATTGGGACCGGGACCGGGACCGGATATGGACCGGCCCGGCGCGAAAATTAAAATAATTTTATTAATAAATGTATTTTCAAATAATTTATAATGTATTTTTATAAGACAATGTAATTTTAATTATATTAAAACGCATTTTTAAAGTGTATTTGAGTGACCCAATTGTAAATTTTATAACGTATTAGTATTAGAATATATATATCATTTAAAAAAATAAAAATAAATCTTATTTTTAATGCCGGGACCGGTTGGGACCGGCGGCCCATAACCGGTTATGAAGTACCTTGACCGGTCCTACCATTTTCGACGAGGACCGGTTATGAAAAAGTTTGGGACCAATTAGGCCCGGCCCGAGACCGGTTTTTGGCCATCATAGCAAAGACACACGATGATCTCAGATAACTATTTCATCTCACTGTTGTCCTTAAAAACAGGTTTCATGTGGAACTAATTAGAGTTACCGGTAATCAGTTTTTTACCCAAATAAATTCAAATCATGATATTAAATATTATATAATTGTTATAATTAATACAAATAAAATAAATAATTAAAGATTTAATTTAAAAATATTTTTACACAAATTTCAAATACATAAATACATACATATATAAAAATTGAATGAATTTTTTTTATATAGTTTATGGCAGTAGTGGTTGAGGTGGTGTTGGTTATGGTGGAGGTATTGGTGGCCAACGGTAGTAGTGGCGGTGGGCGATGGTGGTCGGTGGCCAATGGTGGTTGTGGAGGTAGAGGCAATGGTGTTTGGTAGACAACGGTGGTTATGGAGGACGTAAAAATGGTGGATTGTGGTGGTGGTGACGGTCAACAGTGGTAGATGAGGTAGTTGTGGTTGATGTAGTGGAGGTAGTGGCGGTGGTCGATGGCTGATGGTGGTTGTAGAGGTGGCAATCGACGAAGGTGATCGATGATCGACAGTAGTTGTGGAGGTGATGGAGGAGGTTGATGTAGTAAAAGAGGAGTTGGAGGTGGCGAACGGTTAGTGGTGGCAATGGATGGTGGTAGAGATTGACGGTGGTGGTTAGTGGTTGTGAAAGCGGTGGAGGATGTTGTTGTAGTGGAAGAAGAGGTGGAGGTGGCCGACAGTGGCTACCAGTGAACGGTGATTGTCGGTGGTGGCGGCAGACAAAACTAGCAGTGATGACCATTAAAACAAATACCATATTAAAATTACATATTAAGCTAGGGTAGATTAGTAATATTTTAGTTTTTTTTATCTCATTATTGTCACATCTTGTTCCACCTATTTTGGTAGAACAAAAAAATGTCTCTCTTGTCCTATACCGTCCCACCTTGTGTCCTTGTCCCAGTTTTATGTCGCGCCAAACGTGAAACAATGAGTTCTTGTTATGTCACATGTTGTGCCAAATGTGGGACAATAAATTTTATCTCGTCTTATCCTGTCCCGTCCCATGTACAAAAAGCAACCTGAATGAACAAAATGAAAGCAAAAATATTCGGTCATTTTCAATAAAATTTCATGTCCATCATTCACTAGAAAGATGATGCGAATATTTATTAAATAAATCTGAAATAAATAAATATATAATGTGTATTAATTTCAATTGTGGGACACGAATAAGACAAATTTGGGACAAGTGATTTTTATCCGTGCTTGATGTGCAGAGAAGATTTAACCAAATATGACATGATTGAATTGGACAAGACTAGACATGATAAATTATCTGTCTGGTGTTTGATAAGCTTAAGGCCGCACATGACACATTGTCTATCCATGTTTAGATCAATCACCAATTACCATTTTTCACTAATCACTTTGTTTTTGCCCTAATTGACTAAAAAAAGTCAAAATATCTGTATTTTATTCTCTCTAAATACCCAGATTTTTTGCTAGCGCTACTTAATACATAAACCCTAAACCTTTTGAGAAAAGTCAAATGTGGTCAAAACAACTTTATCTCTAACTTCTTTACGGACAAATTCTCTTAAGTGACCTCGGCAACAATTTGATCGACTTGATGATAGACAACCAAATATATTTTACAAAAAAATATATTCTTCATTTAGTTTTTTTTTTTCAAAAAAACGTGTTGTATGGAACTGCTTTTTTGCAAGTTTAAAACGCTGTTATTTTCTTGAATTTTTTTACATATTTTATCTGATTGGTAATAGATCACGTAATGTAACGTTTCAACTTGTTTGGGTAAAAAAACAACTTGCAAAATAATGTTTTATTGTTTTACGAGTTGTTTTTTTAAGCCCTTTCAGTGTTTTTTTTTATCTCACATCTTGTACATGAAGCTAAACTTATGGTAAATACACAACCTGCAAGATAGGAGTTTCTTATTTTGCATGTTGTCTTATGTGTTTAACGTGCGTTGTTTTGTGTTTTTCGTTTAATAACTTGTATGAAAACATACATTTAAAGTGGCGTTACATTTGATGCATTATAAAACTACTTGTAAAATAAGATCCTTTTTTAACTGTGCAAGTTGTGATAAATGTATTTAATCTGTGTTTTTTTTTCTTCGTGTTGTCGAATCTACATTTTATGAGTCGGTAAATGTTAAAGATAAAAATGCACTTTTGGTAAGACCTATGTTAAGTTTTGAGGACTTTGCAGAAAATTAGGATATTTAAAGAGAAACCCATCCAAAAAATAAATAATATTTGGACAAAATTTGGGGGATTTCATATATATCATATATAATATCTGATTTTTATCATCAAAATCAGATACATGTGAGATCCATTCATACCTTCTGGTAAAAAACGCACCATGAGGCGATTTGAATGATCATTTTTTGAAAAAACTCTGAAAATTGGTCATTTTGTTAAGATACAGTGTGTAAAATGACCATTTTAGTCAATTTTTTATTGGGTTAAATGTATGAAATAACAACTTACTTTTATAATTTTTCTTATTATAGCATTATACTTTTGTTTTTCTTTATTACAACAATGTACTTTCAAATTATTTTTTATTAAGGCATCGTACTTTAAAAAATCTACCCATAATAGCAATAAGTAACCTGTTACTTTTTAAACAGGCTAACCCCTTGATTTTTTTTGCTTGTGTGACTTTAATGGGGTGATGTGGATGACACATCATTTTGATGAGTAGACTAAAATAAAGATAAAAAACTATTTCAAATTATTATTAGTGATTTTCATTTTTTATTGTTATGATCTAAAAAATATTTAATTTTTTTTTTGACTTTTTCTTATTAAGTTGCATGCAAATTAAATATTTTAGAATAAAATATTTTTAAAATACATATGAAACATTATTTTTGAAAAGGAACAATTATTATTTTCTTTTTTTTTTCTTCAAAAAACACATATTTTTTAAAAATATTGGTGAGATAATTTGTGTTTTGCTAGTTTTAATGATATTGGTATATTAATTTTTTTAATTTATTTAATATATTTATTAAATAACATGTAAAATATCTAAATATTAAAATTAAAAATACAGTGTTTAATAAGAACTAGTAGGTGCTATAATAAAATAATTTTAAAAGTACAATTATATAGTAAGAAAGTCACATCATTATAATATATGTGGACAACCTACATGGACAATAAAGTGACATGAAAACATGATATAATAGGTAAATTTAAATCAAAAAGTTTCTTAATGCTATAATGAGTAAATTTTTCAAAATATAATGTTATAACAAAAAATAGTTTAAAAATAAATTACTGTAAAAAAACTGAAAATACAATGCTATATTAATTTTTTTTTATAAAAATACATTGTTATTTTGTGCATTTTCCACTTGTTTATTTAATGGATGTTTGGTAAAAGTTAATTGCACATCGTTAGAAATTAACATCATTTGTATTTTGTTGGAATAAGAAATAATTAGGGTTTAATTATTATTCGTCCAAAATAGCGATGATTATGAACCCAACTCAGAGGCAAAGACAAGGGCCACAATTTGCAAACCAGACATCATATCATCTTGTGCCCTTTTTTGGGCATCGGATCACTCGCAGAAGAAAAGCAACCCGCAATGATGGCAGACGACGACGACGACGATTCTTTCGGTGAATTCACATTCGCCTCTAACCGGACGATGGATAATTCATCCTTTCACGATTGGGGGGATTTCAATTTTATTCAAAACACTACAGATCACAACCTTAAATCTCCACAGCCACAGCCACAGCCACAGACACAGACACAGCCAAAGTGGGTGAAGATCAAAGGAGCTTTGCCGCTATCTGTATTTGGAGATGAGGAGGAGGAGGAGGAGGATAAGGATGAGAAATCGATTATGCCTGTGGCTGGAGATGATGTTAAGCAATCGTCTTTTCATGTAAATAGTGGTTTTGTATTCGATAAGAATAATAATAATGATAAGAGTAATGCTCATCTGGGGATCAATGACCTGATGGCGATTCTTTACGGTCCGAGGCAACAGCAGCTGACCATGAAGGCGGCTGATAATGGCAATGAAGTGGACTTCACTGCCACGAATTCAACTGTATCTAAGGATCCCCTTTCAAAATGGGACTCAATGAGCTCTTTTAGCTCAAATACAGTTGCTGCTTCTGGGAATCATGGATCTGATGATGAAGGCGGCTGGGAATTTATAGACGCCTTCTCAGATTCGAAATTAGCGCAAAATGGCAAGGATAACAATGTAATGATTGTTGCTTCATGTAGATTAGATTGAAATCGTAATTCTTTTTCGGAACGCTACTTGATGTGTTTACTTTCCACTACTCTTCATCTTCGGAAAAGAGTGCACCTTGACCTTTTGATGTTAAACCGGTTAAAGTTTTATTCGAAATATGTGAAGACGTCTAAGAAACATGTAACAACCGACTTTGGTTGTTAACCTTTTGAAGAAGTGAAATCCAAATGAAAGTTATAGCTGTACTTTGAAAGTGAAAGTGTACTTGTTTAGGAAGACAGAAACTTCAATATAAACTCGTGCACATTAGGTATGGATTCTACAATCTTACTTGAATCTGCCCGTTGTTGCAGGTACTTTCCGAGAAGACTGTGTTTCCAGTGGGTGTACAAGATGTTTCGCATGGGCCTATTGATCTATTTGCAGCACCAAAGAACAGAGTTTTTGCTGAATCTGATGTAACCGACAATGGGTTTGATTCCAAGCCAACCACAAACGTTCAAAATGGCTCTACGGCAGACTTAAAAGCTGCTTCCAGAAGTACCCCAAATGAGTTAAGTTCAAATTCACTTCGTTGGAGTGTTGATACTGATGATGCTTTTGGAGAGTTTGAGACTGCATTTATGGATCAGCCATCAAAGAAGAAGGTGGATGTGCTTTCTTTGATCTTAATGTCACCAACTCTTCTTGTTATTTCTTGAAAATATGCAATGCAAATGTTCGACTTCAAGCTGACGGAAGCAAACTTAACTTTTTCTTTCTTATTGTTAGGAAGTTGTTTAAATGGGAGAAAGTAGTGGAAACCATATCACATGTCATGAGTTGTGTTAGTTCGTGAAGAGATTAACCAAAGTTCATGTGTTACTTGTCCAGTACGAGAAAAAAAACTAAGGAACCATTGAGAAGTAGCCTTAGTTTTTCTTTCTTTCTTCCAGATTTTGTGTCATACAACATACCGGTTGTGAGATACCTTCAAATTTTTGTATGAAAATGATGTCTAATAGAAACTGCATTGGTGTTGATCCTTACCATTTGTAGGATGCTACCTGTCATTGTGAGATTCAGTTTCTGAAAACCAGTTTACCAGAGTGTTCCATCTAGTAGGAAGAAACAATGCTAGTTAGAAAGTTATCATTTCAACCAAATGGTCGTTGAGACAATTCAAAAGTCATCACTTCAACCATGTGGTCTTTGGCCCAATAATATAAGTGTATCTCTACCACCCTTAGGTTGCAGATTCAAGTCTCTTTGAAGACATCAGGTTTGGAGACCATTTAGAAATAAAATAAAAATAAAGGCATCGTTTCTACTACAAGGGTTAGAGTTGCCTTGTGTGTTGGCATTCTAGGTGGCTGGCAAGTGAATGTAATGTTAGAGAGTATCTCTCTTTTGTATTCTATTTGGGCATTTAAGGAATTTGATCACAAAGATGGCTAGCTAAATATTTTGGGCAATTTTAAAGATGGCCCTGATAAGAGAGAACTGGGATGAATTTTTGCAAATGTTGCTACACATAATGTACAGTCTCACCTGCTTTTTACCTATGAAGTTACATAGCTGGAGGGTATTAGACACTTGGATAGTAATAGAGTTGACAGTAGTTATTATACCCTTGATATCCGAGTTTAAGCAAGTCTAATTTGAGGTTGACTTAAACCTGCAGGAATTATCTCCGGAAAGTAACTACCCATTGGGTTCACATGATGCTTCCCAAGGATCGGTTGATCTATTTTCATTACCAAATGGACTTCCTGGATCACACTATGAGAACAACGGAGTTGACTTCAAGCAAAACTCAGTTCTTCAAAATGGTGTTGCCTCAGATTCTTTCTTTCAAACTGAGTGGAAGGATGCTAAAGATGACTCAGATTCACAACCTCCTGGTGGGGATGTTGATGATGAAAATTTTGGAAAATTTGAGACAACATTTCCAGAAGCTGAATCAAAGCCAGAGGTAGATCAAAACTTATTTATCATTCTGTTTCCTTACAACTATATCTTCTATTAGATGCCAATTTTCATGACCAAAAGAACCAAATATCGGTCAAGTACATTAATACTTGTTGTGTGGAAGGGAGCACAAACGGGCTATAGGTACCTTCTTTCTTTTCTGGATTTAGTTTGTTTGTTCTTATAAATGTTACTCTATCATTATTTGTTTGTTTTAGGGGTCTGAGGCAAGTTCAAAGAATTATAGAGAATCAGTGCCACTTTCCATTTTTGGCATTGAAGAGGAGCCCCAAACTGATAGTTATATGAATCTTCAGCATGAATTCTTTAAATCATCAACCCATGGGAAAAATATGCAGAATCAGAGTTCAAGTTTATCAATCAATGATATTTTATCAGATTTATACAGCCAAGCAAAGCCAATCAGTTCTCCATACCTTGGGCATAACCCAGACGGAGAGGTAAATTTACTGCATTCTACTGGCAAGGAATACAGTTCTCGTGAAGTGGATGATGATGATAATTTTGACGATGAGGATAATTTCGATGATGGTTCATGGGAATTCAAGGATGCTTCCTCTCAATCAAGACCTGAAAATCAGAATTTGTCTCTTAAAAAGAGACTGAACAATTGCATGGATTTCTATTCTAGTTTGAAAGATGAGTTATGTCTTGTTGCAAGGCGCCACCTTCACGTTCTAAAGGTTTGTGCTCTACTTAAATAGCTTCAAGTTCTAGTTTTATCAATCTAAAGAGTTGTGTGAGTATATGTCAATATAAAATTGGTGATATATGCATTTCTATCTAGAAAGCTCAAAGTACCGCTACTCTCGCTGGTGAAGAGATGAAAGTGGAAGCCCTCAACAAAGAAATTCAGGTTGGCATTTCCTTGTCATCTCTTATCTATTAAACTTTCTCCTCCCCCTTTCTTTTGTAGTAATGTATGTACTTTTAACAATCGTTAAGAAGTATTGTTGCTTCATGGCATACAGTAGCCTTTAAGAAGCATCGGTGCTTCATGGCTGCGGATATTAGAGATCTATTGCTTGCTTCCAACATAGATTCCACATTGAGCTTTTTTAGCTATAGTTTGGCTTGTTGTGCTTTGTTTATGGCTTCTGTTTCTGTATTTTCTTTTATGAAAATGCAATGTAGGACTTGTGTTGTGAAAGTTGAACATTGTTTTCTCTTCTCTCGGTTACTAGGATATTTTCCTCGATTCCCGTTATCAAACATGTTTTTTGTGTGTACTACATTAAATAGCAGAAAAGGAAAAAAGACAAGCACTTGACACATGAAAAATGGTACTTTTGGAATGCGTCTTTTTCATTCAGAGTGAAAACATCATATATTTATAGTTTACATGTGTGAGTACAATGAACTCCAAGAGAAACCAGGAGAATAGCAATATTATTGCCTGCAGTCTTAAGATTATTAAGAGTTCTTTAGTTGTGGAATATCAAACTTGCCAAACTTGTCACGTCTAAGGTTAATACATCTGGAAGCTGACCTGTAGAGCAAACTCAAATTGGCTCAATACTTGGAGGTTTATAAGAAGTTTTTGTTGCCTGTAAACATTATGTTGGTCAACTTTGATTAGTCTCTTTTGGTTATAGAAACTTCGATACTTGAACATATACATGGTTTCCTCATTATTACAATACATTTTAATTGGTCTAGCAAAGAAGTCGCTCAACTCTTGCACGTTTTGTATCCAAGTTAGTTCATAAGCACTTTGAGCCATCACTCAGTATTTTCCTTTACCTTGCTCAGATTTTCTGTGAATAAAGGTTTCATCCAAGAAAATATAGTATCTTGTAGTAGATTTCCTACTACAAGGACCTTGTGCATGATTCGCATAAGAATATTCGACAAGTTGTTCATGTCCCTTTTGCGGTGCTCCATTCTGATACTTCAATGTGAATTGCAACATACTGACAACTAAGTTCGTAAAGCATCGACAACACTTGCTGAGAGAGCAATACATGGCCTCAAAATATGAACTTACCCACAGATTTTCTATTTTCCTTGGACATTGTAAGTTTGTAACAATTTTCATTATCTGGATCTATGCTGTCAATTGTGGGGCAATAGTGGTGCTATAGGCGATCCTTGTGGAAACACTGATGGGGAATAGTGGTTTTACTAATAGAGGCTCTAATCACTGCAATTGGGCCGCAATTTTAATTTGCAATTGCGGTGTGAGATGGGCTTTTAAAGGATTTAGTGAAGTCGATTAAGGGATTACTGATTAGGGTGCCTGTTTTGTGAGGATCCCAACTAAGTAGGCTCCCTCTAGCTAAACTCCTTCCTCTACCAAAGACAACTAAAGTAGAAGATTCTTGTATGCTACTAGATAAACGATTATTTAGCAGGAAATCCATGGAATGAGTATCCCAAAAACATAGGATGGATGGAATAGTGTGTAGGAGACACTCCCCCCCTCCCACACACACAAAAAAAAAAAGTCAAAGACATGAAGTTTGTTGTAGGGCAAAAGATTCTTCCATCTCATCTACCAATTTCATAACTTGGATATAATGTTCCAACAAAGACCAATTGCATGCCTTGGAAATTTCCTACACGAAACATACCAGTAGAACCAAAATAAGTGGCTGCGAAAGAGCCTTTGCAGTTCGACAGTCATAACAGCACTATATATTTTTGGCCCCATGCTCCTCACTGAGCGCATAAAAATATCACTATCAAATATTTACATTCATTTGTAATAGGGCTGGGCTTAGTTAGATGACCAAGTCGAGACCTCCTTGTTACGGGATCATTCATGAGAGATCCAAGATTGTGGCTTTATATAATGGATCACGGCGGGGTTTTACTAATGGTAAGTGGTATGATTGTTTCACGGTTTCTAAATGTCTGACATTTCTCATTTTTGGGCTACTCCAACTGGTTCTTGCTAATAGGCTTATTTTTGCAACTCTCTAATCGTTTCTTTATCAGTATTTTGAAAAGCTTGGTAACCAAATAATGCTGCTCACATGATAGCAATTGAATTGCTTGGTTTCAGATAAAATACTATTTATCTTTTCGGTTTCTGATATTAGCCGTGGTCTGAAAAATCTCCTTCTGATTGTTCTTTCCTGTTTTCAGTTTTAGATGTTATATGAGAACTTCTTTTTGCAATATTATGCACTGCAATAATAATTTATTTTGCCTATTGTAGGAGGTCTTTGAAGAGCTTCACCAAAAGGATATCTTATCCACAGAAATCCATTCTGATGATCATTTGGAACCAGTTATTTCTCTTAAGCAATATATTGAAACTCTCCATGAGCCAGATTTTCAAATACTTGAGTCAGAATATCACATATCAAGAAGATTGTCATTAGTATGTCATTTGCTCTATCTTTTAGTGAATTCATGAGTTAATTGTCCATTGCAATTTAGATCTATATACTCTTTGTACTTCAAGTTTAATACTCTTCAAGAATCTTCCACACCCTATAAAGTTATTTTGCTTATCATTTGGTGGTCTTGTCCAACCCCCCTAAACCCTTGCACTTGTGGTACACAAAAGTACTGTGGGTGACAAAAACAGAAACCCTCCGTTACAAAAAAAAGGAGGAAAGGGATACATTTTCATTTCATGATTTTAAAAAAATATGCGAAAGTGAATTGTTTGTCAAGTCCTGATGTTATTCACTAGAAGAGAGGGAAAATATATGCTAAATGCTTATGTTCGACTTCAGTGGCTTGAATAACCTCTATCCTAATCTTACTACTTTAAAACATGCAACAGAAGTTCATATTTTTGACAAATTGCCTGTCTTGTTAGCTTATAGATTAAGATTGAAAATGGACTACATTGCAAATAAAAAAACATACATGTCATGAAGTTTTATGTGGTCAAAATTTATTTCATTTTAAAAAATTCTTATCAATATGAAATTACACATTTTTTAATATTCAAACAGAGTTATTAGCATCCAATCTAACTTCCATCTTGTGATTAGGCAGAATCAGATTTGCGAACAGCCGTTGACCTTATCAACCACTTCACAACAGTGCTAAAGATACTAACACTAGCTCCAAAGGATGAACCAGCTAATTATGTCTCCATATGGTTTAAGGTGATTTCAGCCTGTTCTCAAGAGCTGAAACATGGCACCTGGATTTGGAAGCAATCATTAGAAAAGAATGTCCATCGTGAAATACTCTCTGAACGTCAAGGTACTGCGCTATAATGATTATGTTATTTGTGATAATACCATCTCAATAATATCATTGCAGTCTGTAGAATAGTAAGTGTGATATTTGAGATCAAATGAACTGCCTTCTAACTTCAATAATGGCATGGATGTGTTGCAAATTTTTTGCCATATGTGGAATATGTTAGTAAACTTTATTTTTTAGTGAAATGTTTAAAGAATTCAGATTGACTTCAAGTTGAAACTTGGCCCGCATAGCCTCAAAAATCAAACCTGGCCAATTCTTTTTTCTGGAACACTCCGATCATGGTGGCAAATTTTTTTAGTTTACTTGTCAGCATATGTAATTGTTTTTATTTCAGGTAAACAGTTCATTATTGCCCTTGGAGAGATTTATAGAGTCGTTGTGATTGTGGGAGCAGCAGTCAAATTTTACAAGCCCTGGTTACTGTTAAGTGGTGAAGATTTAGAGGGAGTTTATGGCCTTCTAGAAGAATGTGACTCCCACTGGTCAACTTCAGGACTGGAGGAGGCTATCCCTGTCGAGTCTTTATTGGAGTCCATCAGGCATATTCATGATCTTGATGAACTTGCAATTGCAAATGAGGTTCTTAATCAAGAGGAATCTCGATGTTGGCTATCACTTTTATCACCAGGAGTGGTGCCAGGTGTGTTAACTTATATATCATGTTTAAATAACCTTATAAAGTGATGAATACGACTAACATATCAAGTATTCAGGAATTCTCATGCCTTTAGGAGTCGACTGAATTGGGGTGGTGTTATATGTTTCATATATGTAGGACATTTCTTACAAGTAATTGGTATATAGACGCGATCCTAAATTAGGGTATAGTTAGGGTTTTATTATGTTTGCCTGTTTAGTTGTATTATGTACTTAGGATTTTCCCCTCATGATGTGAGCTTAGGCTTTGATAACAAAATCCAAGTTCTTGTTATATGCAGCCACCAGTTGCATATTGTTCCAACTGTTTGCATTCATCTGTTGCCTCGTTCGTAATCATGTTGTATGAAAAGTTTAAAGTCATTAGATTTATAATTTTGGAACAGAACTAAAGATTGGGTTAACACATCTTATTTAGGGTGGACGATTTAGTTAGTAACCACCAAATTACTTTTGCTTATGACCGAGAAACTGCTTGAAACTTATATGAAAGTACTAGTCTTTGAGAGCTCCAAGAAATGCATGTATATATATATATATACATACATAAATACACACGCGTATTGTGTGTATATACATGTATCTATGCATTTACACGTACATGATACACTCTACCACTTGCCCATCAATACACTCTCAATTCAGATGCTAACACATAAGTTTGGGATTTAAACTCAGGGCCTCTAGGTTATATCATAAGCAAGTTCCAATGTGCGAAATACCCAAGAATAACAACAAAATAGGGGAAATCTAGTGCAACAAAAAGCAATACCATCATTAATTTGTTATAGATCATAGTGTATCATGCAAGTATAAAGCAATACCATCATTAATCTTTTATGCCATCCCTTCTATGTTCATATTCTTCTAGATCTTTTCCATATTACCACAATCACTTTTTTCTGTTCAATGCAGAAATGAAGATGGTGGTATGGAACGGAGATAAGTATTTCGTCACCCTTGCAAATTTATGGGCAAATTTGATCAGCCCGGATCCCCCAACGTTGTCTATTCACGTTGGCTGACATACAAAAATCATATGACCAACAAACAAATCTTTCACAGATTGCTTTTCTTTCTATATCTTACGAAAGAAGCCACTCGTCACTTCTGAATGCCCTTCTGATGACTGAAATCGCGTCAAGTGCCCTGCAATTTTGCAGGAAACTTAAACATAAATGGCATTCAGTAGCCTTCTTCCAACATGAGCAAAGATATGTAGATGTTGCATGTTATGTAAGGGTAAATAGATCAGCCATTGTTTGATGGTTTTGCAGCTTCTTGTGGACAGTAATTTATAGTTCCATGAAGAATTACGATATTTACTATTTGGCGTGTCATTTTAGGAGCTGTTTTGTTCGTTTATATCGGGTTTTTTTTGTTTTTGGAAACATTTTATTAAAAAAATGCAAAAATAAAAGCTTTAATTTGCTCCTAAAATTGCATGTCAAAAGTGATGGTTGTAATGTTTAGGAGGGGGTTGAGGGAATTGAAGATGTAATGTAAGTATAGACAAAAAATGGTATTATTTTGGAATATTGTTTGCAATTATTTGGTTTTCATTGTTTTAGCTATTGTTTCATAATAAAAGTTGAGAGTAAATTACATTTTTTGTCCCTATGGTTTGTTAAAAATTGCAATTTTCATACCTGTGGTTTAGAAATTGCAGTTTTCATCCATATGGTTTGTAATTCATTGCTATTTTCGTTATTATGATTTACAAGTTAATGTTGTTGCGGTCCCTGTGGTTTACAAGTTCTTTAATGTTTTGGTCACTTGTATTTAAAGGTAGGAGTTAGTCCAGAGACGAAAATAGCTTTAAATTACAAACTATAGGAGTAAAAATCCTAAATTTTAACCCATAGGGACACATAGTCAAAATTATTAAAAAAACTACATAATACTTGATTATTATTTTTATAAATATTATATTATTAGACATAAAATAAATTATTTCGTTGTTAAACCTAAATTAAATTATAATAAAAAAATTGGATTAAAAAAATTATAAAGAAAAAAAGCAAGAACTTTTAAGTAGTTAATTTGATAATGAAACCGATATACTCTTTTCAAATGTATCTTTTATTTATACGCAAAAACATTATGGCTTTATCAAAACAACAAAAAAAATGTATCATAAAATCGAAAGAGACAAAGAATAAAAAAAAACATTAAATCGAAATGTTTCATGACGTATTGTGCGGGCACACTTCTAGTTATTTTATGTAGTTAAAGATTCATCACTTTATTAGGTTGATTCTAAATCAAAAGTACAGTCTAATCAATATTACTAATCTATACTTATAATAAATAAGTAACTGACGTGACACGTGTCATCTTCTGGTGAGCTGCTTTTAGTGTTTTCCCGCCTAAATACGTATCTAGACACAATTTACATTAGCAGTTCAATTAAACTCATTTGATTGACATGTGTCATCTTATTCAATCAATCCCACTAATTTAAGATGCAATTGATTTTATTCTTGGATTAATTAATTCGTGTGGTAACTGATTCTCGAAAAAAATGGTGTTTACTTCTAAGTTTAAATTCAATTTACAGATATAGTTTCATTTCTAAATTCAATTTTATTCTAAGGTTAACTTCATTTTATTCTAATTCAATTTACTGAAAAGTTTTTACTTCAAAGTTATTTCAAGAGAACAAGTCTGAAGTCATCTTTCAGAGTTAGCTCACCCGAACTCTGAAGTCTGAATTCTGACGTATTCTTTTTCAGACTTAGAAACTCGAACTCTGAAGTCTTCTTTTTCATATTTAGAAATCTAAACTCTAAAGTCTTCTACAAGTCTGAAGAGTACAAGTCTGAAGAGTTTTACTTCATAATAATTTCAAAAGTACAAGTCTTGTAATAAACTTATCTAGATTTTGAAGATAAGTTTTTAAGACTTAGATTTAGTCTTGTAAGCCAGAGCCCTTCTGATTGGTTTTGCTTCTGGATGATTTTGCTTATGGTTGTTTATTTGAACCTTGGAAAAATATTCCAATCCATCTTAAAGGAACCAAAGGAGCTCTGGTTGATCTTCATGTTTAACCAGAGGGTCTCTGATTGTAATTGGGACTCAAATTCTTTAAGTATTTAACATTTTCTTAACCCGGAGGCTCTGGTTGACTAGAGGGCCTTTGATTGGCCTTGCTTTTGGGTTGGCATTGCTTTTTGGTTGGTGAGTCCAGTCCTTAAGGACCAGATGAGCTTTGGTTGGTCTTGCTCTGTATGATGCAAGCTTTATCATGGGATCTTTTTCAAAGATATTGGGTATTTGAATAACTCTGAACTCAAGTTCTTCAAACTTCGTCTTCAGATTTGACACAAGCGCTTTTCTAAGTTTAAATTCAATTTACTGATATAGTTTCATTTCTAAATTCAATTTTATTCTAGGGTTAACTTCATTTTAACTAATTATTGATATAGTTTTATTTCTAAATTCAAGTCTGAAGAGTGTTCAGAATTATTATTCAAAGTTATACTTCAAAGTTATTTAAATAGTAAAAGTCTGAAGTCATTCTTTAGAGTTTTACTTCAGAGTCATTTCAAGAGTACAAGTCTGAAGTCATTTTTCAAAGTTATACTTCAGAGTTATTTCAATAGTACAAATATGAAAAGTCATTCTAAAGAGTTAGCTCACCTGAACTCTAAAGTCAGTTTTTTCAAACTTAGCTCACCCGAACTCTTGAGTTTGAACTCTGAAATCTTCTTTTCAGACTTAGAAGTCTGAACTCTGAAGTCTTTTTTTAAACTTAGAAAAAGAAGTCTGAAGCCTTCTTTTTCAGACTTAGAAGTCTTTTACAAGTCTGAAGAGTCATTCTTCAGAGTTAGCTCACTCAAATTCTGAAGTCTTTTTTTTTTTTTTTCAGACTTAGAAGTCTGAACTATGATTTAGTGGAATTGATTTTATACTTCAGGGTTATTTCAAGAGTACAAGTTTGAAGAGTCATTATTCAGAGTTTTACTTCAGAATTATTTTCATAGTACAAGTCTGATGATTCATTCTTCAGAGTTATCTCACCCAAACTCTGAAGTCTTCTTTTCCAGACGGAGCACCATGCAGAGCCTCTGCATAGTGCATGCAGAGCTTTTGGTTTACCTATATAGAGCTCTGAAGTCTGAAGAGTTTACTTTAGAGTCATTTCAAGAGTACAAGTCTGAAGAGTCATTCTAAATTTACTTCTAAGTTTAAATTCAATTTACTGATATAGTTTCATTTTTAAATTTAATTTTATTCTAGGGTTAACTTCATTTTAACTAATTATTGATACATTTTCATTTCTAATTCAAGTCTGAAGAGTCATTCTTAAAAGCTATACTTCAGAATTATACTTCAGAATTATTTCAAGAATAGAAGTCTAAAGTAACATCGTACTTTCGATAATCATTCATATCTGTAAGATAAGTTTCCTAACATGATTCAATTTTTTAAATTACCCCGTGTAATACACGGGATCGAACCTAGTTAATCATATATCAGTTTCACGTCAACAATCATTCTATATATTCTAGAGGGTAGAGCAGGTCTTATACCTTTTTTTTTCTTTCTAAAACGATATTCTTATGAAGTTATCTAAGTCGGTCCTGTATCGAAATTTTAACTTAATCAACAGTATTAATTAATTACCTATCACTATAGGAAACATCTGTTTTTTTTACCGGGTAAGGGAAAAACGTACCACACATCCATTTTCTCTGAAATATCAATAAAGTCAATGAATAATTAATCCACTAGATTCAACATTTATTATCAATATTGTTAATGTATCAATTACGTTTTCTTGAAATTTTTTGATAAAAGATTTTTTAAATTGATTATTTGTATAATAAAAGAAATTAGAAAAAATCTATATTTTTTTTATTAGCCTAGATATTCAACCCGTTATGCGAGCCGACTAATTCCAAAACGACCATCTGCTTTACAGATAATGCGGAGTCACCGTATTTGAATCTCTGTGGCTACAAAAGGATTTTTATTCCTTATTGGATTTGAACCTGATAGAGCAGGTCCTATACGTATAAAAATATTTATGATTTTAAATAACCATTACATATAATACGAATAAAATTAAATATATCAATCTTATGTATTCTAATCAATTAATAATTTTTCATAAAATATAATTAATAATCTATACTATATTATAAAATATTTGACAAAAACTCTTAAAAATAACTTTTTATGCATAAAGTACTGTTTGTTGATACATATTACTTAAAAATTCAATATTACAAGTTGATTGTACGTAAATACAACTTATTAAAGCTTCATATTCGAATTCGTTAACTACATGCGGATAAGCATAATCAAATACATGATAAACATCATTTTAAATATAAAAAAATTAAAAAATAATTAAGATAATCATTGAGTTCTAACAGAATACTTAATCATTATCTTAAAAAATTATTTTATTAAATCAAAAATAAATTAGTTTGTTTTTAAAATTTATTTAA